TTCAGATCAATTCGGTAGGTTTGAATTAATTTTTTGAATCCATGGTTAGGTTCTAGATTGAAAATTTGAAAATCCGTAGTCCACGGATCGGTTCCCGATTAGAACCGATCCAGACCGTATACAAATAGCCTATGTTTATATTATACACTCTCTCGTATAGTATCTTCTCTTATTCCATATAAAACCTAAACCCAAACCTAAACTCGCATAATATCCTTTTTTATTGCTTTTATTTGTTGATTTTTAGTTTTAATTTGTAATAGTCTAAATACTTATAGTAGAATCAGTTTTCTTATGGTTATTTAAATTGTAGAACAGTATGTCGTTATTATGGAAAAACATGTTATTGTGAAATTAATATGATGCTATGTTTATGTTTTTATAAAATTAAAATGTTCTATATATATATTTTTTGTTATTTAATTATGTGAATCTGCGGTCCTAAACCGGTTCAATCAGTGTTTAAATTGATTTGTTTGGATTGATTCTACGATTTAAACGGATTAAATTAGTTTTAATTTTTCAAGAACTGTATATGACGGATTAGTCTTAGTTTTATCATAATCCAGACTACGCTCCCTCCTAATTTTAACTAATTTATTAATAATTTGATGAAATCATATTTGGAAAATATTTGATTCAACTCCATTGATAATTGAGATATGTACAATCATTTAGTAATAATACCAGCGTTGTGTACATGTATGAATCGCGTATTGTTAAAATTATGAGAAATTACAAATTTTGATTTACACAGTTATATGAGTTAAAAAGTTATAGGCAATTACGTCAACTTATTTAAATTTGGAAAAATTACAAAAAAAAAAAAAAAAAAAGAGTTTGAGTTTTATGATAAAATAAAATTTTAGTTTTATCAATTTAAACCTTAATATTTTGATTTATTTTCAATTTAAACCATCCATTTATTTTCGTTAAGTAAGAAAAAAAAATATTTATTTTAATTATTAAATTCAATATAAGCGTACAGAAAATGTATAAATTATTCATTATTATTGAATTTAATGACTAATATATATATATATATATATTTTTTTCCAACAGGTTTAATTAAAAAAAAATAGATGATAATTTATATTAAAAATAAATCAAAAAATTATGATTTAAATTGATAAAACACAAAATTTGAAATTTAGTTCATTAAAACTTAAATCCTAATTTTTTTTTTGGTTTTGTTTTTCTATTCATTTTGTTAAAATAGTTAAAATGACCAATATAAAAAAAAAAATTATCAACCACTCTAATTTCGGAGGGTTTTGGGAATGACTTTTTTATTTATTATTATTTTCGACCTTGGTGATTTTTTTTAAAAAATTTAAAAGTTCAAGATTTTTAGATTCAGTTCAATAAAATGAACTGAAAAATTATGCCTGGATTTGGTTTAGTTTTGAAATTGTGATTCCAATAAAAAAATTTCAAAACCCATAAATAAATACACAATTTAAAACTATTCAAAATTCAATTTAAAAATTATTTTCAAAACTCATAACCAAACTCACAGTTCAAAACAACTCTTTTCATAACTCTATTTAAAAAAAAAAATATCAAAAAACTTGTTTCCATTTTTCAAATAACACTTTTCAAAAAATTCTACTTTCTTATTTTTTGTGTTTTTTTTTTACTGAATTTTAAAAATATTTTAAGCAATTTTTTTTTACTTTTTAGACACATCTAGCATAAATACACCTAAAAAGCAAAAAATTGTAATTGTTTTTAAAAAAATTCACTAAATACCAAAAATACAAAAAAAAAAAAAAAGAATTCAGTACATTTTTTATATTTTTATGTATTTATTAATTTTTTAAAATATTTTTTCACAAATTTTTTACTTTTTAAATACATCTAAGTAAGGTGCATCTAAAAAAGTAAAAAAATGTCTAAAATTTAAAAAATATTCACTAAAAACAAAAAAACACGAAAATTAAAAAAGTCAGTTTTCAAAAAATTTAATCCAGAAAACTCAAACCAAACACATTGATATTTATTTTATTTTTTAAAAATATTTTTGGGGATAATTGATTTTTAAAGTATAGTTTAGGAGTGAAATGAAATTCCAAATAAAATTTGGTGCCATGTCAGTAAGTTCAATTTGATTGTAAACAGAGACAAACAGCAGAGACTAAATTAATCAAATTAAACTAATATAAAATCTATATGCCAAATTAATTTTCACATAATAATTTAAAGTATAAAATGATATTTCCCCTCCAAATGATTTATTTTTAAAATAACAACTAAAACAGTGCCATATAATTAAATATTTTATTAATATTTTTTTACTTTTTTAAATATTTAATTTTTTAAATTAAAAAAAGGAAAACTTATTTATAAGTCTTTTTTCAGACACTTGTGGTAGGCTAAGTCATGTGTAATTTATTATAGAGTCTCAAGTCTTATTTAGATAGGAATGTATTCCACAAGATCCTACATAAACGTAATGTGACATGACACTTACATAAACGTAACGTAACGTGACACCTATATAAACGTAACGTAACGTAACACCTATATAAACGTAACGTGACACCTACATAAACATAACGCAACATGTCACGTTACGTTTCGCAAACTTAATGAGTTTTTATTTTTTTAAATTGAATGTGAAAATGTTGTTGGTTTATGTTGGTGTCACGTTATGATTCATATAAATATGATCAATGGTACGTTACGTTTATGTAAGTGTCACGTTACGTTACGTTTATGTAGATATGATTGATGGCAACATTCAATTTCCTATATAGAAAATTAAATGTTTACCATAAATTATAAGTGTCACGTTACGTTTATGTAGGTGTCACGTTACGTTACGTTTATGTAGATATGATCTATGGTATAACATGCAATTTCTTATATATGGTTTTACTATTATTTATGATATTAACAATTAATATTGAGGGTAAATGTATCAACAAACGTCCCACATGACTTATGGGAGCAAATATTTTTTTAGTAGGAGCATATGTAGTATAAACGTAACGTAACGTGACACCTATATAAACGTATGACACCTACATAAACGTAACGTAACGTGTTACGTTACGTTTCGCAAACTTAATGAGTTTTTATTTTTTAAAATTGAATGTGAAAATGTTACTGGTTATGTTGGTGTCACGTTATGATTCATATAAATATGATCTATGACAATATTCAATTTCCTAGAAAATTGAATGTTGTCATAAATCATAGGTGTCGCATTATGTTACGTTCATGTAAACATTCAATTTCCTATACAGGAAATTGAATGTTGCCATAGATCATATGTGTCACGTTACATTTATGTAGGTGTCACATTACGTTACGTTTATGTAGATATGATCTATGGTAACATGCAATATAGGAAACTGCATGTTACCATAGATCATAGGTGTCGCGTTACGTTTATGTAGGTGTCATGTTACGTATAGGTGTCGCGTTACGTTACGTTTATATAGATATGATCTATGGTAACATTCAATTTCCTATATATGGTTTTACTATTATTTATGATATTAACAACTAATATTGAGGATAAATGTGTCAACAAACTTCCCACAGGACTTATGAGAACATAAATTTTTTAGTAGGACCATATGTAGCATAAGTCTTCATAATAGGACTTATAAATAACTTTCCCTTACAAAAATTGCATCGCCATATATATAAATCATAACAAATTATTTGGCCAATAATTAAAAAATAAAATAAAATAAAATAATTTTTTTTTAGAGTTTTGAAAAGAGTTTGGTTATGAGTTTTGAATTATATGTTTGATTATGAGTTTTGAAAATAATTTTTGAATTGAGTTTTAAGTTATAAGTTTGGTTACGATTTAAGTATGAAGTTGTGTTTTGAATTTAAAATATTAAAAAAAATTAAAATATTTACAAAATAAAATAAAATATCTAAAATTTGAATTTTTTAAAATAACAATTATATATTTAAAATAAAAAAATAATTTTTCTTAAATATTTTTAAAAAATAAATCTAAAAAATTTCGAAATACAACTTAAAATTCTTTTAAAAACTCATAAACAAATATATTTTTTTCATTTCAAAACTCAACTCATAACTCCACATTTAAATTACAACTCCACATTTAAATCACAATTGTAAAACTAAATTAAAGGCACCCTATAATTTGTTTAAAAAAATTCAAAAAAATAAGCAAATTTTTTAATCTTATTTTTGTCTTTAGTGATTTTTTCTAGGTTTTTTTTCAAAAATATATTTTTTAAATTCATCTTATCTCGATGGATAAAAAAAAATTAAAATAATTTTTTAAAATGTCACTAAAGTAAAAAAAAAAAAAACAGAAAATTATTTATAAGTCCTATTAGAGAGGCTTATGCTACATATGGTCCTACTAAAAAATTTATATTTTCATAAGTCCTGTGGGAAGTTTGTTGATACATTTACCCTCAATATTAGTTGTTAATATCATAAATAATAGTAAAATTATATATAAGAAATTGAATGTTTCCATAAATCATATTTATATGAAACGTAACGTGACACCAATATAAATCAACAACATTTTCACATTCAATTTGAAAAAATAAAAACTCATTAAGTTTGCGAAACACGTTACGTTTATATAGATGTCATGTTATGTTTATGTAGGTGTCACATTACGTTACGTTTATATATGTATCGCGTTACGTTACGTCTATATAGGTGCCACGTTACGTCACGTTTATGTAAGTGTCACGTTACGATACGTTTATGTAGGATTTTATGAAATACATTCTTATTTAAATAGAACTTGAGATTCTATAAAAAAATTACACAAGGCTTAACCTACTATAAGTGTTTAAAAAATGACTTATAAATAAATCTCCCATACGTTTTTTCCTCAAATTTACAAATAAAAAAATAAAAAAAATCGAAAGAAGTGTTGATTTATTTATTAGTTTTTTTTTTTTCCCTGCCAAAATGGGCAAAAAGCTTTAGTTTTTTTTTTTTCCCTGCCAAAATGGGCAAAAAGCTCAACTGGACTGTTACAGTAGCAGAGAGAGAGAGAGAGAGAGACAGTGGGTAGATATACATGCGTATAGTGATAGAGAGAGAGAGAGAGAGACGGTGGGTAGATACATGCGTATATCTCTCTCAATCACACACACTAGTAGTAGTAATGTCCTTGTCTTTGGAGTTCGGACCTTGAAATAAATACAACTGCTTTTCTTCCACCGACGCTAAATCACAGAGAGAGAGAGAGTGGTCGGTCGTTGGTGGTCAATCTGATCATGTCTTCCGGCAGGTATATGGCCTACTCCCCCTCTCCTTCCGCCCCTCACTCTCCTCACATCGCCGGTCTCCGCTCCTCCTCCTCCTCCACCCTCACCCTCACCCTCGTCGACCAAGACAAGTACGTCCCCTCCCCTCCCCTGCATATCCACTAACTTTTTTCTCTAGATCTTCCTCAATTTCACTAATCAATTATTGATCCGACTATTTTTCCTTTTTTTTTTTTTTTTTTGTTATTTGTGATTTAAATTTTGTGATCTGTCGTGTAAGAATTGATGATATCACCATTACATTTGTTTGCTAAAGGTGTGGTGGTTTTGAGATCGAACGTGATTTTCCCCTTTGGTATTAGATCTGAAGATTTTGGTTTTAGGATTGTGTTTATTTATAGCTCTCAGTAATTTGTTGTTTTTGTTGTTTTTAAATCGTCTTTGAAATTATTATTTTTAATCGGCCTAATGCTACAAAAGCAAAAGTGCTTTCTCTTGTGAACTATTGACAATATGCTTCACGCACCTGGAAATCAGGGAATTTAACCTTGTTATTGCAAGAGATGTGTTTGTTGTCCAGTTGGTATTAGTGTGTGATGATGATTAATAATGTGCTCCTTACATACATGGTGATGCAAGCAACTAAATTGATCTGCCAAATTTACTGCCTTTTTAAAAATAAAAATTAAAAATCGGATCTCGAGAAGGTAAATAGCAGCATGAAAGAAAAAATGGTATCAAATCTCTCTAGTGGAATGGATTAGCGTTAGGAGCTAGGAAGACACTCTTTTAAATTTAGACCTTTTTTTTTTTGGTGGTTGTTGCTGTTGCTTCCATTTCCTTTGATGATCCTGGCGATGATGATGGAATTCTGTTAAACAATCACATACAAAAACTTAGTGGGATAATTCAAAAGAAAAATTCATTGTGTTATCATTTCGTCGCTCCTTTTATGTTTTTTGGGCATTGTTTTATTAGTGTTATTTATTTTGGTTTGAAAGGCACAATCATGATTATGATCATGCTTAGGTGCTTATATGCATTGTTCCTATCAATAACTGCACAATTAACTTTATTTGTACCATTGTTTTTTTCGACAGGTATCTATCTGAGCTACTTGCAGAGCGTCACAAAATTAGTCCATTTATGGCCGTGCTTCCTCATAGTTATCGTTTGTTGAATCAGGGTGAGTGTGGAAATCCATTGTTGTTACACACGTTATTGGAAAAGTTGGGTAAGGTTTTCAGATTTTGTTTTATATATTTTGTCATGGGAGAATAGATGAAAAGCTGAAAGAAGAAGGAGGGTGACTCCCATGGGTTCCATAAAGAGTCAACTATAAAAGTCATCAAGATTAAAAACATTCCCATGAGGGCAAAGTAAAGATGCAGTCCATTTTAGTCTCCTATAGCCGTAGGTTAGCAGCATTAGGACCACATATTTCAAACATTTGATGTTGCATTTGCTCAACTCTTGTGAATGGAAGTTTGGACTTCCATATTTGTTCTGCATAAGGCAAATTGATGTTGTTAGAAGCCCCTAAGTCTGAGTTTACCAAGTATGTTTATCTCATTAAGTTTTTTGCGTTATATGTTCGCTTTAGTTACAAAGTTGGTTGAGTTATTTAGTTTCATTCGCTTATGTTAACGTTACTATTTTCTTGTTGTAATGAAACAATCATTGAAACCCACCAGTCTGGGGATACTAGAGGATACTATTATTAATGAGGGGATGCTTGAGGATTTTGTCCTTCCAACTCCATTAATGTCAATGAAGTGAAGAAATGATTGAAAACTGTTGTATGATCAAATTATAGGGAAAATTTACCAGAGTATTGCAGTGTCAATATTGCTATACAGGTCAAATACTAAGCAATTGAGAAACTCATACAAAAAGCTAGTGTGATAATATGGAGGGATTTATGATGGATGAGCAACAATATGAGAAAGAAATGTAGATGTGAGAAGCTGATGATTGCACTGGATGGAAAATGCTAGTGTATAACAAGGAGTTGGATCACTGAAATTGAAGATGGTAGATGGTAAAAAGGAAGTTCACAAACTGGGAGTTTGGTTGGTCAACATAGATCCTTTTATTGTTCCGATTGTTATGTGATCGTTCTTTTTAATCCTTGAGAAAAAGTGATAGTGAAAGTGAAAGTGAAAAGGGCCGCTTAGTCACCTGATGGATCTTGGGGATAGATTTCTGTGCAGGGTTCTCGTGATCATTTTGATTGAATAATGGGATCTTGTGGGTACAGACGTTCAGGCTCTTCACATTAGGTTCACTGTGGCGACTCCATCATTTTATCTTCAAAGGAATTTGACATGTGCTGACCTGGGTAGGTAGCACGTGGGCCAGTGGCAGGCTCCACACCCCTTCTCCAACGAGGATGAGCCACTCTAGCTAAGGTTGCGTAGTTCAAGCCTTTTGTGTGGGATGGTTCTGATGGGACAAAAAATGAGGCTATCCTATATAATTTTGGGGAGCTAAAAAGATGAGCCCTTTTAACCTCTACATGATAGGATTTTCCTACAATGTTACAAGGTAGAATTGAGGGGTTTTTGGCGGTCTCTTGGAACTTGTTTTCTGGTTGAGAAAATTGTTTGCATTTCTGGATCTTTGGCCTTCAGTTTTGTGAGTTTCGAGTTTTGTATGTCTGGATGCTTTTATCTTAGCAAAAAGAGGTACTTCAAGTGAAGTAGTATTATTTGGATTGGAATTACTTTGTATTGTTAAATAGTTAATTCTTCTTCTTTTCTTTTTTTTTGGGTTCTTTTTCTTAATCTTTATCTTTTGCTGTTGAAACCTTTTGTTCCTCCATTTTATATTTGAATAGTGATATCTCATAATAATATTTTATTTAAAGTCGTCAAACTTTGTTGTAAGATGTTTAAGATTGTGCATTTTTTAAATAAGCAGCTGATTTATTGGAGATGTAATTTCTTATGCACCCTTCTTCACATATCAATAATTATGTTAAGTTTGTCAAATCTTTTGTGAATGAGTATTGACCATTCAGTTATAATAGGATAGAGCTTAACTACATGTTTTTTTCTCATTTTCTACCAGGGTACATTCTTTTTGAAAGATTTGAGTTTGTCACATAGGGGGAAGCATTGATTATGACTAACCCAGTAAACAATCAGTGTAGTGTGTCGATTTTGTGGTGACTGCTGACTAATTTGTTAACAAATGCTAACTGGTACATTTTATTCTTGAAAATTGACATTTTTGGAGCAGAAATATTGCGTGTAACCACACTGTTGGGGAATGCGTCAGTTTTAGATCAAAGTGGGCTTGAACATGCTAGCCCCCTGGCTTCAGGAGGAATATTTTCAAATGGAGGAGCCACTGTGAACAGATGGGCATCACCGTTTCAATCAGAAGTACGGATACTAACTATTAACATAACCTTTTGTTCCATCTAATTTTACTGTTTTTCAGAAGCATTCCTGACTCATTTTTTAAACACTTCATTCTAACTTCATTAGTCTATTTGAGTGCTTGTACTGAAATTCCGTGTCTTTCATGACGGTTAGTTTGAGGCTAACATCATTAAGAATAACACATAGATTTAATCAAGTGTCCTAATCCACCATAACTAGATAGTTAACTCGATCTTGGACAGGACATTTACCTATAAGGGCTGAGACAGACAGTTGGAGGACTTTTGTTCTTACTCCTGACATCTCAATTAACATGGTGTTTAGTGGTGTACATTACAAGGGGATACCTATTGGCAGAGACCAATTCATTGGTTTTGGGTTCTAAGAAGCGTCTAATTTATTATGTTGCTGATACAATAGTTAAATATGCTATCATCTGAATGCAAAGAAAAAATTAACCAAAACAAAACAAAACAAAAGTCATGAGACCTGGTAATATTTGCAAAATGATGTATATATCTTGGTTTCAATACTCTGGAGTCTGGTTTCAGATTTATAGGAATAAGTTCAAGCTCTTCTATGATTTGTGCTCAAACGCGAGCATATGTTTTTGGTGTTCCATTCATATATATGTTGAGGTGCACCTATTTACTTCTGTGGGTTATCTTTATTTCAATGTTCAGCAGTTCTAAGGTACTTTTCTTTGTGATAGTTTTTTGGAAATTCGGTAGTTCTTGCTTTACAAAACAGTATTACAGCTGTATCTATCTTTTAAGTTCTTTTAACATTGTCTGTGTTTTTATTACACAGATGTCAGGTTTATTGCAGCCCTCATCTGCACAAAACTGGCTTGGTTCTCAAGGCAGTTCATCTGGTCTTATAGTGAAGAGAACAATGAGGGTGGATATCCCAGTTGATCAATATCCTAATGTACGAGTTATTCTCTTATTCCATTGCATCTTTTTCATGGTGTAGTTTACTGCATTTCATGTTTGATTTCCTGTTACCCACTTGCTGTTGCAGTTCAATTTTGTTGGCCGCCTCCTTGGTCCTAGAGGGAACTCACTCAAGAGAGTAGAGGCAAGTACTGAGTGCCGTGTTCTAATCAGAGGGCGTGGCAGCATCAAGGATCCCGTTAAGGTAATTTTGATTGTCTTTTCAACCAGAATGCTTGTGTTTCTTGGATACTTTCTGAAGTGTTTTATGGTTTGATGTGTTAATACATTGAAATGCTGAAACCATAATATTCTGGATACTGAATGGAGCAATGCCACACTTTTAATCTCTCTCTCTAAACGAAAGCTATAGGTGTGACATGGGCTATGCTCATGTTCTTAACTTATGCTATCTTCATCTCATTTTCAATTCAATTATTTATTTCTTTTTAGTGGTATCCATTTCCTGATATCATTTCCAGAGAGTTTTGTTTGTATGATAGTCTACAATATTGATCAGGTTTCCAATTTCTTCTGACCTCAACCAAAAAGTAGAGAATTTTTTTTTGGGGATCACAACAGCTCTACATGCCTGTAATTTTACTTGTAGAAACTGTGAACTTTCATTAGATGCTGCAATTAACCATTACATTATAGTTCTTAATACCTTGTCCGATCATGAAGTTAACATGGTCTGTCTATTCATATTGATGGGTGTTGATTTTTTTGTCTCTAAATGTTCTATTTTACTCTGAATTACTTTTTATAATTTCTTCCCCTTGGGTCTTTAATCAAGAGAACAGTGCGATGCTCTAGCAATTGTTTTTTTTAGGAATTTTGATTTTTTATATAGCAGCCAATTTCAGCAACTGAAATCAATTTGTATAGTAATATTGATGGCAAATATGTACAGTGAATTCTTGCTATTCCTCTTTCTACTGATACATGCCTCACTCTGTGTACATTTGTTTTCCTCAATCAGGAACCCAGTTTATAAATAATTCGAATCATTTTGTACATGTGTTTACTTCTGTTTCCTTGTTCTGAAAATGTAATTTGTTATGTTTATGACTTGAAGGAAGAGATGATGCGGGGGAAACCTGGGTATGAGCATCTGAATGAACCTCTCCACATACTTGTTGAGGCAGAATTGCCAGTAGAGATAGTTGATGCTCGTTTAATGCAAGCGCGTGAAATACTTGAAGATCTGCTCAAGCCTGTGGTAACTTATTCTTCTCCACACAGACCCACCCACCCCCCGGGCGACCCTGATTGGCTATGTTTCCTGGAATACTAGCATCTGTATTAACTTTCATCTTCTTTTATGCAGGATGAATCTCAGGATTTCTACAAGAAACAACAGCTCCGAGAGCTTGCAATGCTCAATGGTACACTTCGTGATGAAGGTTCTCAAATGTCGGGTTCTGTATCCCCCTTCCACAACAGCCTCGGTATGAAGAGGGCCAAGACTAGGGGGTAAATGGGTGGGTCACTTTTATTAGTGGGCTTTTGGAGCTTGTGTGTTATAGTCTCTGCCATTAAACAGCAGTTTCCACACCATAGGTGTTGCTGCTGGGCCAAGCCAATGCCTCCAACTGCCATCGGGGCACTGGCACCATTTGCGTGCCAGTTCTAACGTGTTTCTATAATGATAGATTATGAAGTGTGTGTGCATCTTCTATTTGGGGGCGTTTTAATGAGACGGTATATATATATATGTCATGGTAAAAAGGACCATCCGGGTCTAGGGGTTTGCTTCCGGATGTTGTTTCTTTAGGCAGTTTTGGTTAGAACATTGTGTCTCCAAGATCGTCCTTGTATTGTATTATTGGATTTATTGTAAGCGTGTGATTACAGTTTTGATAGAGTCGAGAATTCCGAGTTGACGTATTTTGTATACAGAGTGAGGTGAGTGGTGATCTATTTAGGTAAATGTTACTTGGGAATGTAGTGTTCTGTGCTTTCAAGTGGAGATGGTGTACTTAGATGTGTTGAACATATAGCTTCTTTTTTTTCTTTCTTTTTTTTTCGTCAATTTTTATTTTGAATTTCAGTGTGATTCTAGCCCCCTACTAATAACCTTTTATATTAGAGTTAATCTGTTTGTCTAGTCAGAAAATATTTTCAATAGCCTATGGTGATTGTAGTCATGGCTTAGGTAAGATTTTGGTATTGTCTTGTTAGGTTGGAAAACATTTTTTCTTCTTAAATTGATTTATTTTTCATTGACTACAGAAATGGCCTTCTGCATTATAGTTGGCCTCTATTTGGGATTCAAATCTTTTATTGCTTTCTTTTACGGTTAATTACCGGTAATTATTCAGTATTCTCGGAATATGAATATGTGGTGTTTCATAAGATTGTGATTGGTAGATTGGGATAGGAGTTCATGATTTATGTTGGGAATGAGAGAATAATATGGGGTTAAGTAATTGGTGATTGACTCGAAATATGATCACGTGGTGTTTTGGGATTATTAAATAATTCTGTTAATTACACTGATGTCTCTCTAATAATACTAAAATTATAATTGGCCTGATTATTTTGATGAAATTACATTGACTTTTCATAAATTATAAACATGTTAATGGAAATGATAAAATTAGTACGTTCGGTTATTAAGATATGGAGTGTCAGTGTTTAGGTGCACAATAATGAAAGATAAAATAAATATTTTTATCTAAAAAATAATATCATCATTTTTATACTTTTTGGCAATGGTATGAACAAACATGTTACTGTTTTAATATTTTAAAAAATGTTATGTAATTATATCAAAATTATAAAATTAGTGTTAATTTATTAGTACTTAAAGTGGTCAACGTAATTTTTTTAGTTATGTTTCTTTTTACAAGAACTCAGCGTACATTCCAGATGAAGTTACAATTGTATATAATAATGGGTTAATTTAATTACACTTATTTATCTTAATATTTTCACTAAAATATTACTTAAACCCTTTTACTTTTTAATTATAATAGTCAATTTGACTTTTATAAAATTTGAATGTGAGCCATGATATTTTTCTTCATTTATCAACATTTTTATAATTTTATCAAAATTTTATTTTACTCTTTGCATGTCTACTAAAATCTCACTCTAGTCTCTTCACTGTTATTTTTGTCAAGTATTGAAACTAATTTAATTCTTTGTATCAATTTGCCTTAACTAGTTAAAAAAAAAATTGTCTCAACTACCAATTTGTCTGTCAATCTGGTTCATTCAGAACAACAATGAAGGCTAGAATCTCTGAAGTCTCCTTGTCCTTGAAAACAATTCCTAAAAAGCAAACCCTAGTCAACTCTACAAAAGCAATGCTTTCCCCTCCAATGGATCCGAACACGAGAGAGGTGAGCCGAACAGACAAACATTTCCAAGCATGAAGTAGATCTGCTTATGTCACTACTGAATATAAATGCAAGAGGTTCTACTGAACTCAAAAAGAGTCTTTAAAGACTATTTACAATACAAACTTTAGGGGAGAATTGTGATTTGATCCTGCATGTTTATATATTCACCTTGTTGCGGGTTTGACAGATATGAGAAGCTTTAGCTGTGCAGGTCATAATCACTGTTGATAGACAGACAACGATGCTCTAAAATTTTGAATTCAGAACGACATTCTCTTTCCCTTCTTCGTCATCCTCGATATCATCAATACCAACCCAACGAGTGAAAGCAAAAAGAAATTCCTTGAAGTTCACCATTCCATTTCTATCCCAGTCCATCTCCTCTGCAACAATTAGACAAGACTGAGCGACTTGAACAATATACATTAAAGAAAATGAAGAGATGAACATGAAAGTTTGTTTAAGAAAAGCATCTAAGAAGATCAACCCCCCAATCCACATGAAAGCATTTATATGTTTTTAGATTGTTGAAACGCATGAAATTTCATTGGTTCATTAGTCCAAATACTTCTAGCCAGTAGCATTACAACAGTTACCGTATGCTCTATCAAAATTGATCTTTTATGAGGAACTATTGAATGAATGTTGATGATCTGAAGATGAAGATTTTCTTTTGATCTATTACATACGTCATGCATGTTTATGAGAGAGAGAGAGAGAGAGATCTGACCAAATCTTTTCATGGCTATTCGACCAGATGAGTGCTCCCCTGTAGTGGTCTCATTTATCGCATCAATCATCTCACTCTTGCTTACATAACCATCCTTGTTCTTGTCCAAGAACACAAACGCATTAACAAGTGTTTCGAATGTGGCCTCCAGGCTTGGCATCCCCATCCGTGATTTCTAAACATGTCATGGAAGATAACAATAGACAGAGATACAAACACAGATTTGCCACTAATGTTACTCACAGGGATGGCTAGACGACAACCAACTTTTTCATTGTCTTTTGGATTATAAATGGTAACAAAAATAAGTCCAACATAACAACAAATTCTAGGAGAATAACGAGACGTATATGACCAGCTAAACAGTTAAAAAGCAAATGAAGTTGTTTTGTACATATATGTCACAGCAAGTGATGGATATTTTGACATAAAACCAACAGCAAGAAACTTGGAAAACAATGACGCTGACATAGATATTCAGATTAACATGTTGTACGACATACGCTAGTCTACAATGAGGAAAGGGTGCAAATATTGCATTCTATATCTACAAGTCAATTGTGATCTGTTGTATGAATCAGCTAAAAGAAATGGTTCCATCTAAAATGATAAAATATAGATGCAGTATAGTATTCTGGATACAGCGTGAAGGGCAGTGGGATTCTCCTTCAGAAGATAGACAAGGCAGAGAAGCACAATGAACTCATTAAATTTCATTCCCAAATTCTCATATATATCACATGCCTCAAAGAGATCATTGATTTCTTCCTCCGGCAAATTAATCTCAAGTTTAAGGAAACAGCGCTTCAATTCTTCTGGATCAATTGTGCCATTTGCATCCTCATCTACAAAGGAAACAGGCAAGTTCTACTCTTTAGCAGGCGAAAGGAAGGAAAAAGAGAGCATTTGTCATAGACAAAACAAGCACAATGACAACCTATGTTACATGGACTCTTCAAATTAAATCAAATACCCGTGTCGGACACCCGACACTCGGACAAGGGTATGGGATATGTGTCGGATACTTTTCAACGGATATTTCTTATATAATTGTATATAACACTATTATTATATGTATATATTGTTATATAATTGCTATAAATGTCATTTTGACACTATAAGTTAAATATAATACCATTTTATCTCACATATTAGATTAAAAATATAAAAATATGACCTTTATTTGCCGAGTCCGCGTATCCTTAAATTTATGATTTGATGAGTCCGACCTCTAGATACATACCCGCACCCGACACCCGTACCCGAGTCCATGTAACATAGATGACAACCCAAAATTACATAACAACTTGTATTTCATAAGATGATGATGAAATGCATCCAATGCTTAAATTATTTGATTTCGTACTAGAATTACAGCATCAGTTAAAAGGGAATAAACTGCTGCCAACTGAACATACCCTTTTCAGAAAACATTACTTTGTATGGGCCAAGTTTGAGCACTTACCAAATTGCTCAAAGATAGCTTTGCACTTTCTTAAGCTCTCATCAATTTTGGGGAACTTCAAGATTATGCTGTTAAATGATTTCATGGAACTTCCTTCAGATGCTCTTCGCTGCATAGCTTCAACCATTTTGGCCTCAAGCTTTGTTTCTGTTATATTATCTTTGGGTGCATCACCCGTGCTCAATGCACCTCCCATTGCCAATTACCGAAATAAAAGGAGACAGGAGATAATACCTGAGGTGTATCTGCCCAATTACATAAGTTGTTGGAAATAAGTATGTATAAAAACAATAGCATAGAGCAGATAATGAAGCCTGAGAAGTAAACAGATCAAATTTGTGTAGTGAATATGGCAAGTCATAGATAAAACTAACTGAACACCCGAAACATGGTTTAATCTTTGAAGCTTCAAAAACTTTTAAATATGAGGACAAATAAGGTACATTTTGTTCCAACTCCAAGTTTCTATACTAAATGAGACATAGGCATAGCGTACTCCAAAAGATTAATTCATGTCAAGAAAAAAAATTTAAGCTTTACCATAGCATTGGGTGCTGGATTTGTGGGCAATTTAGATCTTGACCTTCTTGTGAAAAAATCTTGTTACTACCAACTTTAAATTCTAACTATGTGTTTACATGTACATGATGTTTAATCACATATTTTTACAGTCTTACAAGAATTTGTAACAAAATCTTGCCTAATATTATGATCACAACTTGAATCTTAGAGACCAATTCTCAATATAGACTTTCTTGGTTGCCATTGTTGTTTTTCAAACTTAACTGATACTTGTATATATGAAACCCGGAATTAGAAGTTTATTTCCAGTATATGAACCATTATATGTTCTAACCCAATGCATTCCTTCTCCTCCTGGTTGTCACTGCAATAACTCTTTTTTCTTTTTTTTTTTGAGGAAAAATAAAAAGTCATTCATATTAAATTTGTCGACTACATGATTCATTTTCGCCTATCAAAGACTATATGCTGAGCCCTCAAAATATATATTTCCAAACCCAAGGGAATTTGATAGGTGATATGCTTATTATGTGTTTGTGAATACATCCATGAGAGAATATAAATTATAATCAAATGCGTGAAGTGGTCATCAGATCAAATGTTTAATATAAATTTGAAGACTTTCCAAACTTCAGGGCAGGATGGCCCTTCAACCATAGTCAAGATTCCCCCTTCTAAAGATTCCACTAATTTCTTTCAATTTCCGTCTGTTTTCTCAGCAACCAAACGGAAGCTGCCGTGCACCTTTAATAGCTATAGCTCAAATTACAATTGACACACACAATACATACATACATAAATACATACATACAATCAATCAATCAAAATAATAATAAAATCCACAATCCATGGAAGAGGAAGCTCTTACCAGGACTTGATCAAAACAAAAGCGATGCAAACAGGGGTCTTTTCAAACTCGAGCTCAGCAAATTTCAAAAGCACCAAAAACCCATATGTATCGATCACTTTTGCAGAGCATTGAATCGTTTTCAAACTCGATACAGTTGATCAAGAACGAGAAGAAAAAAAAAAAAAGGGTAATCAAGAAAACCCAACAAAAAACAGGAAATGAAAAAAGAGACCCAGAAGAGAGAGATCAAAACTGAATAAAAAGAAAAAAGCAAGCTGGAAAAGGGTTGATTGTTTAGTAGAGTATACGAGGAAAGTGGTGGTGCATCGATGGTGGGTTTGTCAACTTTCTTCGGAGTTTGTTTTCAGTTTTTTATATTTTGGAAGCTCTTTTGATGCCAATATTTGTGCTGTGCCCACCACGTACTTGTATACATTTTAGTCCACTTGAAATTACTATATAACCCCTTGGTCCATTTGGAAAACGATTTCCTGTAGGTTGGAGAAGTTATTTGGTGATCTGAACACTGCCACGTGATATTTCAGGTATAATATGATTGGTGGAGGTGGAGGCGGAGGTGAGGTGGTGGAAGGGATTGATGGATGAAATTTAAATTTTCGGTTAAATGATTTGGGAACATAAAGGCTATAGTAATTTATGATTAGTTAGAGATATAATTACGCGGCGTTGCTAAATCAAAAATTACTTTTTTTTTTGTAAGTTTAAGTTTTTTTTCTTTTGGAAGATAACAATTTAGTGTAATTTCTAAAAAATAATTACAGTAATAAATTTTATAAATATTAATAATTAAACTCTTTAGCTTTTTTTATGAATCTATACTAATTTTTTTTATTTAAATATCACTGAATATTAATTTTCCTTTTTGTCTTTTTTGTCTCTCGGCCATTGCTCTGTCATGTCTCTATCACTATTGTCATGGTCCAAAATTTTAGATAATTAAATATTAAATTAGAACTAAAGTTTAATTAATATTTCATCATTTAAATTTTAGGGGTAAAATAAAATTTAAATGTTCTCGTTTCCATAAGCTTTAAGTAAATTTTCATATTCAAAAGATAATAAGGGGATTAAAAAAATAATAATAATTAATAAACGCCAACTAAACTATTTATCATAAATTTATAATTATCCAATATCTTCAACATTAAAGTAGCAACAATTAGTCAAAATAATTTAAATAATGTAACGTTACAAACCATGCCAAATTATCAAAATACTAAGGTCATAAAAAAAATAATAAATACATAAACTAATATCAACTCTAAGCTCAAGAAAATCAAAAGAAATCCAAAAGACATGTCCTACGATCATAGTTATTTCTTCTCACCACCATAGTCCCAACTAATCTTGCAAAAGAAGCTCGGCTGCGCTCAAACAGAATGCACTCGAGTTGCCAAGAAACAAAACGAGTCAGTATATAAGTATACTGGTATGAGTACAAGATTTGACACCCACGTGTCCACCAGACACCAACAAAAAGTACATTAATTCTTATTACGGGACAAGACAAGTAGTTCTACCGGCGCCGAGACAAAGGGGTAGTTTCCTGAGATACGGTGACATTTAGTTTCTTGTCCGTACACAACTAAATATAAATTGAGAATAAAATAAATAAAATAAACGTAAAAATATGGCGGGTCAACCCTGCATAAAAAAGTTAGTAAGACCCACCATTCGCAAAAAAAATAAAGTTAGTATAATTTAATCATGAGTAACTTACTGAAGAAATATAAAAATGCACCGTTTCATACTTAAATAATTCGAATTAACCAAAACTTAAATAACAAAAGTTGTACAGAATCAAATTTTCTAAAAAAAAAAAATGAACGAATTAAGTAGAAACTAAACAGGTTGAGAGGAAAACTTGATAGAAAAACCTAAACGGAATTCCATTGAAAAATCTAAATCTGAAAGCGAAAAGAAACTGCCCTAAGATGATTTTTTTCGGAAAATTTCAAAACACGAAAAGTGTGCAGAATAATATTTTACTCTAGTTCATGCGAAATCAATAAAAATGAGCTCGTTTTGTGGGTTAAAACAGCATCTAAAATCTGCACTGCTAACATGAATAAAAACTATTGTAATCAAGATCATCCGATTACAAGTTCTAATCGATATTTTTAATAAAAAATTAAAACACAAAAGTTGTTTAGAATCATGTATACATGCCTTTTCTCAAATTTCATAATTTATTGAGGTCGTTTATTATTTTTCAAGATATACAAATCAATATAATTCAAACTATACATATAAGTTCGTATTTAATTCTTTGTACCTTAACTCTACCACTTCGGCCTCTACTTCTGGCCTACACATATATCCCATGTGTCTCTCGTATACCTAATACCGCTCCGAAGCCAAACTTGTACGGGGATATTGTCTCGAGTTTGACCCACACTCCCCGGATGGTTAGCATATACGTACGCGCGTAAATCAAAGCACTCGTCTACTCACGAGAATGATGCAACAATATATATATATATATATATACAATCTCTGATCTACTCATGAGAACAAATATAATAATATCAAGCCTAAGGCATTTAAACAATCTCATAATCCTCACATTTTTTTTTATACACTCTTCCTCACCAACACTCAAATAAAACAACAATTCATGGAGTCATGGTAAAGTATACAGAATTTATCTATGAGTTCCTAATTTATTTTAATTTCATATGTCCATGAGTGTGATTACAATCATGAAATAAATCCATATAAAAATCTTAAACCTTGCATACACAACTAATCAAAATAACTAAAATCAAACCATCATCTTCACACAAATACCATATCAAACCAACATAAAATATATATAAAAATAAATAAATAAATAAAAACAACGAAATAAACATAAATCAAGGAAAATGGATTTTGTACTCACAATTATTTTTTAAAGATCAAAGAAATATTTGAAAAATTAATGAAGTCACAAAAAAAAAACCTAACTTTTTTTTTTCCTCCTCTCCTCTTTCTCTCCTGGCTTGCTTGTTGAGAGCTCTCTTTTTTTCCTTTGATCACTCTTTCTCTCTCTCTCTCTCTCTCTCTTTCGGCTGCTCTCCGCCGCATAGCACACCACCTTCTCTTTTATTTATTTATTTGTGTGTTTTCTTATTATTCGACTGCTCTCTCCTGCACACCACCTTCTCTTTTATTTATTTATTTATTTGTTTTCTTATTATCTAAGTGAACTTTTAAACCTAATTGACTTCTTATATAATATAACACACTTTTTTTTATATATAATATTATATTATACAAATACAATATATATAAATATATTATATATGATCAACACATATATATATACACATATATATAAACACCATTTATATATATATATATAAATATTCAGATTAATTATATATAATTAAATTAATTAAACACTACATTAAATTCTCATGTAACCACACAATTAATAAAGCCAAACATAAAATAAAGTAATAATAAATAAATAATAACCTATGAAAAATTAATGTCGCTACAATATACATACCTCAAAAGAGTTTCATCCCGAGATTCGATAGGAAAGAGTACTAAGCAAAAAGTTCCGGGTGCATACACCAAACTTTTTCTTCTAATTTCCAAGTGATATCGTTCTCATCCTCGTTCTATCGCACTTTCACCAAGTTCACTTTCTTGCGCCGCAACTGCTTTACATCTAGGTCTAGAATAGTAATGTAACAACCCCAACCCATGATTAACGTTAATCCATACTTAAGTATGCCTAACAAGTAATTAAGAAGAAATTATGAGTTAATTACATGAGCATTACGTTATTTGTGTTTATATCTATTTAACATAGGAAGATCTGTTCATATTTCCGTTCCGATTTGCGAAATTGAAGGCCTTATCGGCATTCGATTCAGAAATTGACTTGATTTACGTGTTATTTAGAATTTTTAGAATTTTATGGTAGGTTCAATTGAATTCGATTCGGAACGATTAAATTAGATTAATTTAATGCCCACTTGATTAGCTTTAATTAACTATCATTAGGTAAACCTATATAAGGCTTCTTATGTGCTATCACTCACTCTTTTCTTTCATTCCAACACATTTTGAGCTCACACACACACACACATAAATGTGTAGAGAGAGAGAGACTAGAGAGAAGTCTTCAAATAAGGAAGTTGCTAGAGAATTAAGGAGAATTGAAGAAATTGAGCAATAATTTACTAGGATTCAAAGAGTTGAGAACCTAAGGTAAGAAATCAAGCCTTTAATTAGGTAATTAGGGAGCTTAACTCATGCATTCAAAAGAATTAAGTGAGTTGGGGCATGAATTAAGCTTAATGAAGTAGTAGAATAGAGTATACATACATGCATGTGCATTACATTGCATTTAGAGCATGTTGTCTGAGAATTTGTCTCATGTATGTTCATATTTTGGTTGTGGTCTAATAATTCATCATGTTTTTGAGTGGAATATCTCATGTGATCATGTTTTGGAAGTTATGAACTCAAATGAATACATGCATGACATATTCACATCATGTTCTTACATTTCAAGTTGAATGTTGCATAATTGACATTCTTTTGGGCCTTGATTTCATGAAATGATCTTTAAACCTTCATATTTTACAAGTTTACATATATTTGCTCAAGTTTTGGGCCCAAAAGGATGTGAATTATAGCTTTGGGGTTAAATTTGAAGCTTGGAAGCAAATCTGGAAATTCAAGAATTCTACTTTTACGCTCGAGCGACAGATCCTATGCTTGAGTGACCACCTTCATTCTCACACTTCCACTCGAGCGACCAAAAGTTGGCTCGAGCGTGAAATGCATGCTCCCAGAAGTTCTTGTGTTTTGCAGACCGCTCGAGCGTAAAAAAGTTACGCTCGAGCAAAGGCATGTCTCTTACACTGGAGTGTGCATTGAGTGGAAAAACAAGCAACTAGCACTTTTACAAAAGTTTACAGACTGCTCGAGCGACAGATTTTGCGCTCAAGCGACCACTCACATTTTGCATGTCCGCTCGAGCGTAGGAAGTTACGCTCGAATGAGGACCCTGTTTTCAGCAATTTTTGTTAAGTGTTTTCAAGTGTATTTTTGTATCATCTTTCCATCCTAGGCATTCCTAGGCCAAGTTTAAGACACCATAATGAAGATAAAGAAGTAGAAACACACCAAGACAAGAAAGACTTAAGTTAATGATTCCAGGTGTGTAATTCATTATGTATTCGTTCTGTATCTATGTAGGTCACGCACCTCGAGATATCTAAATTGCTTACTCTATCCATTACTTGGAGCTATCTGTTATCTGTGAGTAATAACTTAGTAAAGTTATGTTCAAGTTAAATTATTTTCTATATATGGAATAAGATCTGTTCTATAAAATGCCATGTTTAATACTATGAATGTGTTCAACTCTGACAAATGTTTGTGGTATTTATGCTATGATTCAAGTGTGCTATCTGTACCAGGACCGGAGGTTCCTTTATGGAACTGGCAAGTTATTTGTATCCGACTAGAGGTTCTTTATGAAACTGACAAGTTATTCGTTCCCAGACCGGAGGTTCCTTTATGGAACTAATAAGTTATCCGTACCCGATCGGAGGTTCCTCTGTGGAACTGACAAGTATGATCTATGATGCTCTGTAAATGGTCTGTTAGCGCTAACGGATGAACTATGTATGATCAAGCATGTATTCTGAAATTTGTATACGCATTGAATAAGAACACGAATATGAATTTATTCTATGTACAAGCATAGTCATGGGACACCATCCATTTAACCCTTTACTCTGTTATTATTCACTGGGCTCCCGCTTACTACTTAAACTATGTATGTAGGTAATCAGGCACGTGACCAGGCTTAGAGTTGAGGACCTGGCGTTTCAGTTTTTGTCAGCCAACCTTTGTGCCTCCCGAGGAGGTTTCGGTTAAGTCAAGTCTAGTGGCTATGTTATTATGATTGTATAAGACTTTGTTCCTTTGCTCCATAAATAAGTTTCTCTGTTTTTATGTGTATGAAGTGACGTGTAAATACTGTATTTTTTAACGTCACTTGTATGTTTATAAACGTTTAAGATTATCTGTCCCATGTATGTCTTTACAGCTTGATGGACTATGTATATTTTATGTATTTGCTTCCGCAGCCGCTAATTATTCATTATTATGTTAAGAAGCCTTTGGTAATCTAAGGATTACTGGCCAGTTACGATGCTAAACCTATAGAAGCATGTTTGGGTCGTGATAGAGTGGTATCAGAGGATGTGTTTTACCACACACACGAGTCCATATGAGCTTAGGACGTCCTAGTAAGAAGTAGGGGCATTCCATCTGAATGTGTAAGTGTGTGTTTTTGAAAGTGAAAGCATAAATCTGATTATGATCACATGATATGGAAACAAATAATCTGAATAATGTAAAAGGACTATTTGCCTATGTTTATGATGTTTCGTTTACCTATAGCAAATGGAAGATACAAGAAGTGATGGAACAGCCAAATCATCTGAGGCTCAAATGAGCCGCATGGAACAAATGTTTGCAGCTTTAACTGAGGCAATGACTCAACAACAACAGAGGCAATAACCCTTACCTCCCCTACTGGTCCAAGTTGAGCTGGATAACAATGATCTCATAAATTTAACTCAGAAGTTCCGAAAAATGAAACCGCTTACCTTTTTGGGTGGCATTGAACCGTTAAAAGCAGAAACATGGTTGCTTGAAATGGAGAAACTGTTTGAAGTATTCCCTTGCTTTGAAATTCAAAAAGTCCTTCTGGCCACCTACACTTTGAAAGATGAAACCCGAAGGTGGTGGTTACTAATCCGAAACAGTAATGGGAATATGACGTGGGCACAATTTAATTCGATCTTCTATGATAAATACTTCCCTCAATGTTTTCGGGATTGGAAAGTTTCTGAATTCCAAGAACTTAAACAAGGCAGGATGTCTGTGTCCGAGTATGAAGCCGAATTTACTGAGTTGGCTCAATTTGCTCCACATATGGTGGATATTGATTACAAGAAGGCACGAAAATTTGAAGGCGGACTGGATCTGGAAGTGTTTGACCGAGTAGGCGTCTTGAAATTGCCTACCTATGTGAAAGTTTTAGACAGAGCGATAATGACGAAAGCCACAATAGTAACAATGAAACAAGCCAAGGCACTAACAACAGAATGAAGAAGCAAAAGATCTGGGTCTAATTTTCGGAAGGGCCGTTCCTTCTTCGCAAATAAAAAGCAAAATACTAGATCTTCAAGCATTTCAAGCCAAAGTAGTGGGTCTATGCTAATCTGTTCAGAATATGGAAGGAAACATAAAGACATGTATCATCGTGCATCGGGTGCGTGTTTTTACTGTGGCAAAACCGGTCACATAATTAAGGATTGTCCCATGAGGTTTGACAATGTAAATCATCCAGCAGCAAGTTCAATCGAATCTACTCCTGTAACGAGGCCCAATGCAAGAACTAATGTCATGAATAACACCGGGGATGAAACACTAAGGCAAGGGAGAGTGTTTGCTCTAGTACCCGAGGATGTACAGAATACTGAGCCAGTAATGTTAGGTATAATTTCTATCTGTGCATAGAATGCCTATGTATTGATTGATTCTGGTTCTATGCATTCATTTGTATTGCATGCTTTTTTTCGGAAGTTGGCTAGATCATTAGAACCTATGAATTGCATACTATCTGTGTTTACACCATTGGGAAGTTCTATGATGTGCACCCATGTATATCTTGCATGTGATGTTTTGATTGGTGATATGACATTGTACGTTGATTTGCTGCCTTTGAGCATTGACCACTTTGATTGTATATTGGGCATGGATTGGTTGTCGAAATATTGTGCCACTATTGATTGTGTGAATAAAACTGTCACGTTTAAACCACCTGGTATGCCTGAGTTTGTTTTCACTGGGAATGGGGTAGTTCCTCCACCATACTTAATTTCATTTATGAAGCCAAAAAATTGTTGAGAAAAGGTTGTAGAGGTTACTTGTACAGTGTAATGCCTATATCTTCGGATAATACCAATGTGGAAGTTATTCCTGTGGCTTGTGAATTTCTTGATGTGTTTCCTAATGACCTACCCGAAAATCTAATTGATAGGGAAATGGAGTTTACCATTGATGTAGTACCTAGAACACAACCTATCTCTAAAACTCCGAATAGAATGTCGACTTCTGAACTAAAAGAATTAAAAGTTCAACTCCAAGAACTCTTAGACAAGAAATTCATCCATCTGAGTACCTCACCTTGGGGAGCCCAGTGTTGTTTGTTAAAAAGAAAGACGGATCTTCGAGGTTATGCATCGATTACCGTGAGTTGAATAAAGTAACCGTAAAGAACAAATATCCATTACCCCGAATAAATGACCTGTTTAACTAACTTCAGGGAGCCCAAGTGTTTTCTAAAATTGACCTTAGATCCGAGTATCACCAGTTAAATGTCAAGGCAGAAGACATAGAGAAAACTGCATTCAGAACTAGATATGGACACTATGAATTTTTGGTAATGCCATTTGGGGTAACTAATGCACCTGCGGCATTCATGGATTTAATGAATATAGTGTTCAAACAATTTCTGGATGAATTTATTGTTGTCTTTATTGATGATATATTGATTTACTCCAAAAGCAGGGAAGAACAAGAGAATCATTTGAGAACTACCTTACAAATTCTAAGGGAAAAGAAGTTATATGCAAAATTTTCCAAATGTGAATTTTGGCTAGATAGCGTGGCCTTTATGGGTCATGTAATCAATAGGGATGGCATATCGGTAGACCCACAGAAAATTAAAACTATTGTGGACTGGCCTAAACCGACGAATGCGTCAGAAGTTATAAGTTTTCTGAGACTTGTAGGCTATTATCGCAGATTTATGAAAGACTTTTCAAAAGTTGCTATGCTATTGACCCAGTTAACCCAGAAAAAAGTATCATTTGATTGGAATGATCAAAAGGAGTCTGCCTTTCAAGAGTTAAAGACCAGATTAGTAACTGCACTGATTTTGACTTTGCCTAGTGGTACTGATGGATTTCAGATTTACAGTGATGCATCCTACAAAGGTTTAGGTTGTATATTAATGTAAAATGGAAAGGTAATTGCTTATGCTTCTCTGCAACTCCGACCACATGAAAAGAATTACCCGACTCATGATCTTGAACTGGCCGCTGTGGTGTTTGCTTTGAAAATTTGGCGACATTATTTGTATGGTGTGACTTGCGAGGTGTACACCGACCATAAAAGTTTGAAATACTTCTTTACCCAAAAAAAACTGAACATGAGACAGAGAAGATAACTGGAATTGATTAAAGACTATGATCTACAGATTTTATATCATCCGGGAAAAGCTAATACTGTGGCAGATTGTCACGACCCAAACCCGTCCCTATGGGTTCAGCACTGCAACTGGCCAGTAATCCGTGATTACCGAAGGCCTGCTTAACAGTAATGACAGTAATACAGAGTAAAGGGGCTGGCGGAAGCCAAAATAGTAAATAAAAGATGCCCAATAAGCTGTGATAGTCTGAATGCAAAAAGACTTTTTATAAACATGCCACATTGACAACCAAAACGTATATTTATGCAACATATACACAAACATCCATGTCAGGGACCAAATTCCTAACTATAACTGTACAGTCAAAACTTATTCATTTATTACAGATCAGAAACAAAAGGGTGAAACTGAGACACCCCAAAATAGCCTTAGCTTGAACAGACTCGGAACCTCGAGGTGAGGCACGATGGTTGGCTTGACAAAACGGGAGCTTAACCTGATACTTCTAGCATCAGTCTGGTGCCTGGACACCTACATATAAATATAAACAGTGAGCTAAAGCCCAGTGAATAACAGCTGTGTAAAGAGGTTAGGAATGAATGTTCCTTTCAATAATTAAACAGTCATATCAGTCATTTAGAAACCATAACAGTTATATGTGGTACATCCAATAGCAAAATAGTACAGTAGGTCTTAACAGATTGAACAGTCAGTTGATGGCCATCATAACAGTAAACAGTAGTAGTTCCTAACATGGGAACTGACAGAGATCTCTATGACAGTAGCAGTAACAGTACAGTAACAGTAAATTGCTATGGATGCCATGAATACAGTTTACAAATAGGACAAACATTCATTCATTGAACACTAACATTTCAGTAAGCAGTACAGTTGATCATTCAGAAAATAATCATAATTGAACATATCTTTACAACATTGTTACTCACAGAGCACTGGGCTACAGATAGGCTAATGAGCGTCCTCAGATGCCAACCCTACATAGTTACAGAACGAACACACACTAAGTTACGCACTAGGGAATCGATAACTTAGCCCCTTATCTAGACTTGGTGTGGTTCTATAACATTATCCTCATTAAGATGCCTTAAACTAGGCCTAGGAATGCCTAGGATGGAATGAGGATGCAGAAATGCACTTTAAAACACTTTTCAAATTTTTGCTGAAACAAGGGTCTCGCTCGAGCGTGGCTTTCTTCGCTTGAGCGAGCTTGCCAAAACAGAGGGGTCGCTCGAGCGTAGACTTCCTCGCTCGAGCGGTCTGTAAAAAGGCAAAAGTACTAGATGTTGAAAATCCCCGCTCGATGCTCGTTTGAGTGTGAGACACAGTTCTTCGCTTGAGCGTAGGTCTCGTCACTTGAGCGTGCGTCTGCGTGCACCAAAAACCTAAGAGCTTGCAATCTACGCTTGAGCCAACATTCCGTCGCTCGAGCGGAGCTCTGAACAAAACGATGGTCGCTCGAGCGTGGAAGCCAAATCTGGAATTTCTAGATTTGCCTTCAAAGCTCAAACCAAGCATTCAACACATCAAAACTCAACCTTTTGGGCCAATTTTCTGGAAAACACTTGCAAACTCATACTACAACATGTTTTTGAAGATAATTTGTAAAATCAAGCCCAAAGGTAAGCCAATTGAACACCAATTTCAAAGAAACTATCATGAACTAAGCAAGAACATAACATGCATGAGTTCTAATGGACTCCAATGCTTCAAATCATGATCAAATGTAAGATTGAGCTCAAAATCAAGGTGAATTCATGGACTACAACAAAATATGGACTTGCATGTAAGAATTTCATGAAGAACAACTTCAAAATGCTAAAACATGTACATGCATGCATGAATTAGCTCACAATTCAACTCTTTCAAATTAATTCTTGGCTTTAAACTCCAAATGTCCATGAACCATGCAAGAAACAACTTAATTTCATAATGAAGAAGATGAATTCCTGCCTTAGGTCTTGAATTCTAGGTATGGAAGCTCAAATGTGCAATTCTCCTTCAATTTTTCTTAGTTCAAGCAAGACTCTAGGTGAATTCAACCTTTCTCTCCTACTCTCTTTTCTCACATGGTTTGGTCTCCAAAAGATGGATGAGGAGATGATAAAAAAAAAAAAAAGCTCCAACAAAGTTTAACAAAGTGGCCCACTTCAATGGCACAAATGTAATTACTTAGGTTCAATTAGTTTAACATTATTTAATCTAATTCAATCATTACAAATCAAATTCTAATTAAACCTACCATAAAATCACATAGATTAGCATAAAATACTAATCAATTTCTGATTCGGTCGCCGATAAGACCTTCAATTCACAGTTTGAAATTAAAACATGAACAAATCATATAATGACAAATAGGTAGAAATGCAACTAATGCAACACACTCATGCAATTAGGTCAGAATTTCTACTTAATCAATTACTTATCATGCTTAATCACAGATTAGCACTAATCAGAGGTGAGGGTTGTCACAGTCTTCCCTCCTTAAAAAGAGTTTGGTCCTCCAAACTCGGATTAGCTTCATTTTGAAAGAATACTGGGTCCAGGGGGAACAGTTCAGGATACCGGTTCATCATATCATCTTCCCTCTCCCAAGTGGCATAGATGTCACCATGGTTTTTCCAGTCCACTTTTACTAACGAAATTTCTTTATTTCTCAATTTCTTGATTCGTCGGTTCACAATCTGAATAGACCGTTCTTCATAAGTGTAGTCATCACTTAGCACTACATGAGTAGGCTCAATAACATGGAAGGGATCCCGGAGATAATCCCTCAACATTGAAATGTGGAAGACATTATGCATATGCTCCATTTCAAGAGGAAACACTACTTGATACGCCATCGGATTAATCTTTTCAATGATCTCATACGGCC